TCAGTCTAGTAGCACTCTTAAATTCATGCAGTTGGGGTACCAGTGGAAATAGCTCGTCAGAGCAGTTGCCAGTTTGTAGAAAAGAGAGAGGGAAACCACTTCCCGACTGTGAGAAAGTGACTGGAGTCGAGATGCCAGGAAAGGACCTATCACATTGTATATTCGTCTTTGGAATTTGTCGAGAACCATGAGATGAACAGCGGGAGCACATGGCTATATATAATATGAATATTCAATGCAAGGACGTTGTGAAGAGTGATGTTTGCCTAAATATTATCCTAATGCCACGTAGTATTAAAAGAATAAAGAACTTGTATAAGTGACTGATAGTAAAAGGATTAGAAGAGATAGCAAAAAGACACATTTTACTTAGCGCTACATAGAACAGGAAGTTGTGGAGATCCTTGATCGCCCGCGTTCTGAATCGACGCGACACAGAAAAAGTAGAATGTAGCAGTAAGGATTTTTCCGTTTGTTGTCCCTAGAAAAAAAAAAACAAACAAAAAAACCAACAAATTTTTAAAATGTTAAAATTAATAAAACTATCAGCAGATACTCTGAGTTGGGGAAAATAGATTTTGTTGATAAAAGATTCCATTTAATCTTATGATGTATTTTTTCATTATGAAACTTTTTTTCTCTTATGCTATGTTTTATGGGCTCTTTTTTCTTTCATGTACACTTTCAATAAAAATCAAATGCGAAAAACACTTTCTATAATATGACCTAGTGTTAATGGGTAACGTCTTACAAGTCCATGCGTGCTGTACGCTCTTAGATAAATATCGTGAACTGATATTTCCACAGATTCTGGTATTTAACCGCAGGATGTGTGAAGAAGAGGTGAAGCCAGATAGATTTTGTCACGTACTATAGAATGTTTATTGGTCACGAGTCATGACATGCCAAATGGCCGGAGGTCAGTGATGATGAAATATAATTGTTAAATTAACATTTGGCTGTCCTGATACTTAAAAGGAAGAATAAGTGATTGTCGGAAGGAAGAAGCGAAGAAAGAAAATAAAGGAAATAAAAGAAAAGGGAAAATACAAGATGGCGGTGTTCAACAGAAGGATAAGTAAAATGGACGATAGTAAAATGATAAAAAAAAAAACAAAAAAAAAACAGAAATGGCTACAGGAAAATCTAGCATATGTTTAATGTGTGTTTTTGTTTTTAAATAATGGAAAGAGTAAAAAATGCGAAGAGAAAAAAGAGAAACGGTGAAAATTAATTTGCTATGAAGATTCATTTTGAAAAAAAACATAAAAATGAGAAAAAGCATTCAAGAAGAAAAGAAGAAAAAATGAGTAAATATGGATGAAGACGTAAAACTGACAAAGATGAATATTTAGGTAAAAAAATAGGTGGTATGTAGATTCGAATAGGTAAAAAAGAGAGAGAGAGAGAGAGAGAGAGAGTGGGTAAGAGAGAGTAAGAAATAAAAGATAAAGAGAGAGAAAAGAAAGCAGGAAAGAGAGAGAAGATAGAGAAAGAAAAATAGAGCAGAAAAGAGAGAGAACTTAGAGTAAGAAAGAAAGAGAAGATAGAGTAAGAAAAAGAGAGAAAAGAGAGCAGGAAAGAGAGAGAGAGAGAGAAGATAAAGAAAGAGAAGATGTAGTAAGAAAGAGAGAGAAGATACAGAAAGAGAGAGAAGATAGAGTATGAAAGAAAAAACAGATCATGAAAGAGAGAAAAGTTAGATCAAGAAAGAGAAGAGAAGAGTAAGAAAGAGAGAGCAGGAAAGAGAGAGAACACCAAGAAAGGAAAACAGAACAGTAAAGAGAGAGAAGTAAGAAGTAAGAAAGAAAGAAAGAAAGAAAGGAAGAGAAGAGTAAGAAAGATAGAGAAAAGAGAGCAGCAAAGGGAGAGAAGATAAAGAAAGAACACATAGCAGGAAAGAGAGAGAGACGTTAGAGTAAGAAATAGAGAGAACATAGGGTAAGAAAGAGAGAGAAAAGAGAGCAGGAAAGAGAAAGAAAATAAAGTAAGAACAGGTAAAAGGAAAGAAAGAGAAGTTAAATAAAGAAAGAGAAAATAGTGTAGAAAAAGAGAGAGAAAAGAGAGTAGGAAAGAGAGAGATGGCAAATAAAGAAAAATAGAGCAGGAAACAGAGAATTAGAGTAAGAAAGAGAGTGAATAGAGAGCAGGAAAGAGTAAGAAAGAAAGAGATGGAGTATGAAAGAGAGAGAGAGAGAGAGAGTAGGAAAGACAGAAAAGAGAAGGAAAGTGTAAGAAAGAAAGAGATAGATGGAGTATGAAAGAGAGAGAGAGAGAGAGAGAAGAAAAAGACAGAAAAGAGAAGGAAAGAGAGAAAACAAAGGAAAATGAAAAAGTAGGATTCATTCAATAAAAAATAAACTATGTAGATTCTTTATATATATATATGTATTAAGAAATGGACAAGGTCCGACAATTTATTTATTAAAGACATTTTATTATGTTTAACGTTGTTATTTTATAGATACAAGTATTTAAGCAAATGCTCTGTTTATGATAA